TCTCTGTGCTGACGTTAATCTCCCCAACGAGCAGAATCAGCATCCACACCTCAGAGCTGTGTGAGTTTGGCGCTTCTGTATCTCATTTTTCAAGTTCAGCTCAGCGGAAGGCTTCAGGATGTGTTTAATCTCAGGGGAAGATGTGCACTTATCTGTATCTGGAGGGAGGGGTCTCCCAGCAGCCCTGGGGACACAGTGCCACCACCACCACATCCCCACTGGCAGCGGGCGCATCCCGCTCCCCTCTTGCTCCCTGAGCTTCCTGGTTGCTGTGCAGTATTAATGGCTCATGATTCATCAGCAGCGAGCCGGGGATGACAGACACATGCATGCACCCTGTGGCTCTGCAACGCGCACGTCCGCATGCAGGGACTCGGATCCAGAGGAGCCTCAAATCCCCAACAACTGAGGTTATCTGGGGCTGCAATTTGGATTTGTCCCCATAGTGGTGCCAGGCATGAGAGCTCAGCACCTCCAGCTCCATGCTCGACGCAGTGCCATCCCACCCAGCACCAACCAGTTGTGCTCTGGACCGCTGGGAACACACAGGAGTTACTGAACACGTGAGCTATGAGGTGAACCCAACATTCAACCAAACCTGGGGGGCAAAGCCTTGGGCATAGTGGGGCGTTGAGTGGGGACTCTCTGTCCCCAGACCCCAATTTCCCTCTTGTTCCTTGCTTCTCCCATCCCTCCCATGCAAACTCCCGGGATGCGCCTGCCCTAATTGCTTCCCACCTCCTGCAGGGTTTGAAAGATGAAAAGCCCTCACCAGGATAAAGTGTGGAGCACTCATGGGTTATTAATGGCAAGCCATCATTATTTTACCTTTCAAGCACCCGGGTGACAGCAACACGGGAAAGGGCTGGGGAGGAGGAAGCAGCACAAACACACTGCAGCTTTCCCCTCCATCCCCTCCCATAGGGACCCCATTGCCACGCTCCACCAGGAGGCTGGGCAGATTGATGGCAAGGGAGCAGCGAGCAAACAGCACAGCAGATGTGTGCAGCCCGTGGGGCTCAGCCTGCCGTGGGGGGGCCCAGCAGGGACACACACCCCCAGCAGCACCCAGCCCAGATTGATGGCCACGCTCCACCCAGGCACCATCAGCCATCATCCCCAAAGAGCTGAGAAGGGGCAGCGTGATGAGGAGGGTGAGGAGGGCAACGTGGGGTCTCTGTACCGAGCACCAAAGACAGAGACTGGGACCCTATGGGACGTGGATGGAGAGACTGGTGCGCCCCCCCAGGGACACACACACCACGGGTGACACGTGGCAGCCCCACGGCGCAGCCAGGGGACACGCTTGTTTTCAAAGTGTTTTTTATTGGCATAAATAATTCATACACCGTCACCTCACCAAACACTGCACGACAAACCACGGGGACAAGGGCTCACCACTCTGCGGTCACGGAGGGTCGCACTCAGTCAGACAGCGGAAATTATAAATACTTTCTTAAAGTGTAGAAAACGTTATAAATGTTACTGTACAAATTTACATCGGGGAGATCTAGCGTGCCTTTCTCTGCTTTGTTTTTTTTTTTTTTTTTTTGTATGTGTGTTTTTCATTTATTTTATTTTTTTTCCCCCCACCGGAATCAATTGCTCTTTCCCAGTGACAAGAGTTTTGCGACAACAACAACAAAATATATATATATATATTTATGTATATATTTATAAAAAGGAAACAGAAGGAGGGAGGGGGGAAATGAAAACCAGCTCATTCTGCAACGGTCGGAACTAACACGGAGAAAACAAAGCAGCCACCGAGTTCAGTTTGAAACTGTACAGGATTTCGAGCTCTTTAGATATGTATATATCTATATACATACATATGGAGATATGTATATATATTTATATATACCTTATGTACAGGAAAACTGGGGATTGGACTCGATGATCTCTGGAGGTCCCTTCCAACCCCTACAGTTCTGTGATTCTGTGAAAATGTAACAGCGCCATTTAAAGGGAACGGAAATCAAGAAGGCTGGCAAAGCTCCCCAGAAAAATCACCGTTTGCAACACAAAAATAAGTTAAAATAACTTAAATAAGTTAAAATAAATAAACCTAGGAACGACGCAAGCAATGGGTGCCACACAGCGGTGGCCAAGCACAGCCTGGTTGAGCAACCCTACGGTGCACGCAGCATTTGGGGCCATGCAGGGGCTGAGGATGCAGCATGGGACGGCTTCCCCCACGTGGAGCTGCTCTCAGAGTGCCCCACGCCCATCCCCACGCCTCCCAAACCCCCCTCCAAACCCCACGCATGTTGTTGGGTGGGCGCCCATTGGCAGGCGTTGCGCAGAGCGGCTCCCACCTTCACTCCATGTGGAAGGGCTGAGATATTTAAAATAATTTAAACAAAGCAACACAGATCCAGGCACAAAGCTGGACTTTAAAAAAAAAAAAAGAAAGAAAGAAAAAGAAAAAGAAAATATAAATATATTTTTTTTATAATTAAGACTTTCAAAAATAAGAAGGCATTGATGCAAATAGCACGGCTGTACCAACAGCCGCTACTGTGCTGAATGGAAGGAAGGGAGCTGCTTGTCTGGGCTTGTGGATGGATAAATACAGGGCAGCTCCTTCTGTTGGTGCTGTTTTGTAATGGCTCCCTTGGATGGAAATGCTCCTGGGAGGAAAAAGGGGCAGTGGGGGCAGTTGGGCTGGGCACAGTTGTTGGCCATAGCTTTACCCAGCTCCTTTGGATGGCCAAGGGGCAGCAGGGAGACGTGTGGTATTTCTACAAGGACCGGGGCAGCGGGATGCCCCAACCAACAGCACTCATCTGATGGACATCTACAAACAGGGGAGGGGGGACCCCGTGAGGAGCGGTCAGCAGAAGGCTTGGGGCACAAAGCACACCCACAGCAAGGCTTTTAAGATTGATTGTATCCCATTGCAAACCTGCACGGCATTCTATCAGGCTTTGTCACCCCACTGTTGAGCATCGCCTCCATCGTTCCAATTCACACCTAGAGGGTTCACACCTCCTTGGAAAACAAAACCAAGAGCCGTGCGTTGCTCCTGCATCTGTCACTCAACATGGGCATGGTTCTGGACAGGACAGAAGGGGACAGGGCACTGGAACAGCCCCATCCCCAGCACCCACAGACCCCTGGATGAAGGCATTGGCGAGAAGTCAGAGAGGCTCTGAGGTTCAGTGCGATGTTTATGGCACACACAGAGAGGATGGAGAGAGAATTCTTCAGGTGGGAAGGCAGCAGAAGACAGCAGAAGAAGGTTGGGGTAGGACAGGGCTCTGGGTTGTGTTGGGGAGGGCAGGGGATGAGAAATTCCATCCTTCGTGCAAACAGCCAGGAGGCAACCATGTGGCACAGAAACTACCTGAAAAGCACCAGCCTGAGCCTTGTCCAAAGAACCAGGACATTCTTAGGAAGGACCTTCAGGATCTCTGCTCACGTAATGATCTGCCCAGCACTGAACAGAGGGCTTTAACCTTCATTCATTTTGGATAAAGTGGTTCAGACACCAACAGTTTGAGACATACAAGGCCGATTGCTTTGCAACATCTCTGAGTTCAAGCCAACTTACAGAACGGCTGAATTATTCAGGATGGCTCCCAACGAGCAATTATGCTCAATAGGATCCTGAAAACACAATTTTCTCTCCACTGCCGTGATGACAGCTCATGTAGAATGGGCTCAGGGGGAGGGAAACACCAGCACGAGGTGCTCAGATGGCAGCACAAAGCACGGCACATCAGCTCTGGCTGTGGGTGCATGGGATGGCTATGGGGCTGGGAGGGGGGCACTGGTTCTGTACAACCAGAGACTGCTCCCCTTGCTCCATCCACCAGTCCTAAAACCCAACACAGCCCACAGCACCTGACAAACAGACATCAGCACCCCATGGCTGTAACCAGAGGGAGAGGAGGAGAAAGGCAAGATGGAAGGGGTGGCAGATGAGCTCCGTGCCAGGCACAGGGATGAGCTAGTGAGGCTGTGGAGCTGGGCCCTGCAGAGGGACAGCCTGGGGAGGACCTGGGCACAGCCAGGAGCAAAGAGCCACTTGTGAAAGGTCACCATTGCCATGGTGAGGGGCCAAGGAGGGGGCACTGTGGGTGCATTTCCCTGCAGGGAGCAGCTAACAGCAGCGACACAAACCCACAGATCAGCAGCTCTCCCCCCTTAGCTTTCTACTTTTAAAATAAAAACACTAGGAAATTAAATAAAATCCCCCAGAATGAAAAAAGCAAGCCCCAAAAGAGCGCTGTGAGCACGGACCATACCGACTGGGATCGGAGAAGCCTGGGGGTTGAACAGAAGCCACCTGCCCTCGCACATCTCGGGCCCAGCAGCCCTGCAGCCCCATGTGTGCACGGCCCCTGCTGTCTGCCTGCCACCACGGTGTCCCCACATGTCTCTGCCCATCAGTTCCTCTTCAGTGCAGGGAAAGGCTGTGGTGGTTCTATCCCATCCCAGTCCATCCCACAGTGCCCACTGCTCTTCCTTCCTTGGCACATGAAGGAGAGCAGCGAGGAAGAGGAGAAATGCAGGGGCGAAGGCACCATCCCTCAGCTCCTCCTGTCACAGCCTGGAAAAGAGATGAGATGGCAGAGTCAACGTGGGGCACTGTGTCCAGCAGCACTGGGGTCCTGCAAAAGAGTCCCCAAACGTGCATCCGTGTGCATGCATCAGCAGGACCCCAAGGGGGCTTTTGTCTCCTGTGCCCATGGCCTTCATGTAGGACTGCTTTGGATCCTATCACAATAACGCCCAGACCCCCAGCAGTTACACATTCCACTACTTTGGGGTTCAGCTTTCCTTGCAGAGCCACCCCCAGTGCCTGCTCAGAACACAGACTGGCAATTAGCTCCCATCCTGATCAATGCTGGCTCAAGTTCAGGGTGACACAGGGGACATCCGACCGCTGGCTGCACAATGTTCCCAGGAGCACTGAGCACGTGGGGACACGGAGTTGCTTGAGCTCCTGCCTTGGAGCATAGGTAGGGAGGAGAGGTTTGGGCATCAGGGACTTACTCTGCTGACTTCCAGAAGTGCCCAGGGTGGGAAAGGCGACGGTTGCGCTTTGGCAGTTTCTCCAGCATGTCCATGAGCTTGGTGAAGGTGGGTCGCTCCTCCTGCTCGTAGGCCCAACAGAACAGCAGGATGTCCTGCAGCCACACACAGTGACAGGTGAGCACACGGAGGTGGTATCATAACCACTGCCCATGCACCATACGCTCACCCCACATCTCCTATAGGGAACCCTATCCCCCCCACACACAGCCCCACTAGGGAGCCCTATCTCCATCCCGTACCCCATGAAAGTTCAGCATCGAGACCAAGCCCCACCAGCAGAACCCTTTGCCCAACACACATCCCCCATCCCACCCCCCCCATGGGTCTGGTTGCCCCATGGCACCTACCGAGATCTCCTTGCCCATCCCGATCTGGCTGAGGTTGGGTTTCATCCCTCGCCCAACCTGCCATATTATCGCCTCCGCTGGCTGTGTCTTGAAGGGCCATTCTCGTGCATGCAGCTCATACCAGATGGTGCTGGGGAGAGAGCAGTACCATGACCAGGGTCATTCCAAGGGGGGGGACACCCAAACGGCACCCTAACGTGTCCCACCCAAACCCCATCACAACCAACAGAGAGCGCTCAGCATCTTTGCTTCACCCCCAAATAGGTCACCAGTGTCACTCAGTGCTCAGTACAAAGATGCCACTGCTCCCATTTCCCAGATGGGAAAACTGAGGCCGAAAATCCCAACACAGAGGAACATCCCGTTCACATTCCCTGAACTGGGGGAATATCCCTTTCTCCACTGCATGAGGTCCTGAGCTACTTCCCCTCGCTCAGAGGCAGCATCCATCTGAGGCATCATCCACTGCAGGTGGGCAGCCCTGTCCACAGCCATCGTTTTGCTCCATGCTTATAATATCTACCCTGATGGGACGTAACTGTATTTATTGTGCATGACAGCAGTGAGGAGACCGCATGCTTTGGCTGCTGCTGCAGGCACACACCGAGATGTTCAGTGGGGAGCAGGCGGACCCACTGCAGAAAAAAATAAGTCTGAGTAACAGTCTTAGCTTGATCAGATCCCCTAATTACTTTTTTTCTTCTTTTTTTCTCCGAGCTGACGCTCTGCCTTGGAGGAGGGAATATCCAAACTCTTTCAGCTTTAATTACTGCAGTTTTGATGGAAATATCACCTCGGATAACAGCTTCACGTAAACTAATCACTGCAGCCTGCAGTCTTTAAGGTGTGCATGATAAGATTAAACAAAAACCACAGCCCTACACTCGCCTGGAGAAAGGTTTTATCAGGGCGTGATGGGACTCCTGACACAAAGGATGCTTTCTGCTAGATAAATAGCAGGAGCGATGAGTCGGTCGGCTGAGCGTTCCCGCTGAAGGAGACTCATCAATTCTCCCCTGCTCAGCCTTTTGGCATCTCCTCCTCTGCGCGTTCAGCCCCCAGTGACAGCCACGGCTGCTCAGACCATCTGCAGGCACCCAGCAGGGAGGATTGGAGGGCTCTGGGGATTTGTGGGCCAGCATCTGCATCCCATAGCATCTTCATCCCACTGCATCGCCCTGCTGTACCCCTATCCCTCTGCATCATTCCACCACATGTCCATCCCACTGCATCCTCTTCCCTCTCATCCCATCATCTCACCACAATCGTATTCCACTGCATTTGCATCCTATGAACTCTTTATTCCATTGCATCGCCTCACCATGCCCCCATCCCACTGCATCCCCATCCTGTGACCTCCTCATCCCGCTGCATCTCCATCCCACCGTGCCTCCATCCAATTGCTTCACACTACCATGCTCTCATCCTACCCCATCCTCATTCCACTCCCAGCTGCTTTCCCATCAGTACCCATGCTAAGAGACAATTTCCCATATTCACCCTTATCTGTCTGTGACACGGGGGGGGGGGGGGGGCGGGGGGTTTTTCACTCAAATTCTTTTGAAGCAGGCTCATGCCTCAGTGATGGCAGCAGGTCACAACCAACACTGCCCCACCAGACACCATCGCACAGCAGGGACTCACCCCAGAGCAAAGACGTCCGAGTGCTTGGAGAAGGGCAACTTGTCCTCCTCAGTGTCGGGCGAGAGCTGGCGGATGATCTCAGGGGCCAGGTGGCACAGCCAGCCATTCTGGATCCGCAGTTTGTTCTCCCTCCTGTAAGAATACGGAGCCAGGAGCACGAGTGCTGGGGAGGGCAGGGAGAACCACTGTTGTCTCCCAGACCCTGCACCCCATTTAAGCCTGGTTTTCCCCTCAGGATCCTTGCAAGTCTGGGCTTTAGCCCCACTGTGACAAAGGTCTGCAGGCAAGATGTCTTCATATTCGTCTCTGGTGGAAGGGCACAGTTTGGGCTGGTGCCTTGGTCTGTTCTGGCTCTCACTGTCACCCCCCATACAATCACAGGGATCATTCAGGTTGAGAAAGACCTCTAAGGTCCCCAAGTCCAGTCCCTGCCCACCCCACCATGCCCACTGACCACATCCCCCAGTGCCACCACATCCCCATGGTTCTGGAACACTTGCAGGGTTGGTGACACCACCACCTCCCTGAGCAGCTGTGCCACTCCATCAGCACTCCTTCCAAGAAGAAACGTTTCCTCATATCCAATGTAAACCTCCCACGGCAAAACTTGAGACCATCACCTCTCGTACTTTGAACCAAAATTCTTCAGAAGAGCAGGGACAAACATTTCCTTGGGTAAATCCCACCAGCATCAACATCTGAGCTGGTCCTGCTTAGACCTGAGCAGAGACCAGGGACCTCCAGGAGTGCACTCCAACCCAACTCACCCAATCACAGCCCAGCAATCGGTGTTTCCAGGTGTTTGATCCCTTCCAGCCCATCATTTCCCTATCTCCTCGAGGTCCCCCCAGCCAGTACAAACGCATTGGGATCACTTGGCCAGCAGCTGAGGATGATGCTGATGCCTTCCTCCTGCAGGCACTTGGATGCACTGATGGCACAACTTGCTCTCTCCTGCTCCTTCCAGAGCTGCTTGACCAAACCAATGCTTCACCAGGTAACAGAGCTCCCCTGTACCCTCTCTCTTGTGTGAAGCTTTCCCACGTTGCATCCTGGTAACAGCACACACTGATGGAGCCCTGGACTCAGTCAGTGCCCCAGCATCAGTTCTACCAGCAGAGAAGGCTGAGCTCCAGAGCAATCCCAAATTTGGCTAAATTATGGCAATTTCACGACTTCATAACCAACCCAGGCACATCACAGAACAAGAGAGCAGCAGTGAGAGCAGAAGAGCTCTTCAGGCCACTCCAAACCACCTCTAATTACAGAGCAGCCCTATCAAGCCCGGCAATATTTAAATACACGAAAAATAAATATATGGAGCAACCCTATCAAGCCATGCAACGTTTAAATATGGGAAAAATAAATATCTGGAGCAGCCCTACCAAGTCCTGCAACGTTTAAGTACAGGAAAAATAAATATCTGGAGCAGCCCTACCAAGTCCCACAGTGTTTAAGTACAGGAAAAATAAATACGATTTCACCAGGGTAAGATGCCAGGTAACAAGTTCTCTGCAGAGTGTGCTGTAGGTATGATAGCCATCCCATTTTTCAGCAGTGTTGGTATCAGTGCACCAAGTGCATTCAAGGCAATCTTGTGGCTAGGAGGATGAGGAGGGTTTTTAAGTGATGGCATTTTTAAACTCTAGTGAGAACAGGCCAGGTAGTAGTCCTCATTCACATCTGTGCATGAAGTAACATCACCATCTTTAGTCTGGCCTGCCAACATTTGCTTCCCTCTCTACACAGTCGTGAGACACCACAACCACCAATAATAACTTCACCTGAACAAGGAGATCAGACTTGCAGGCACTTTTCTGCTTCAAAATCCATGGTGAACGATGGGTGCAGATTCCAACAGGAGATGCACGTGGGTCCAACAGTCAAGGGAGGCCACCCCAAAAGCTCCTTGGACAGGAATTTCTGCACTGTCCTCATTTTTCCAGCAGAATGCCCATCGTTTCTAGAGGATCTCGTATGTCTGTACAGCTCCACATGTCATCTATCCTCTGCTAAGCAACCTCACCAAGTGGCATCCTGACCTTGAGCATCATCCCATTTAATTGGGTACTCATCTCCCTGCTGCCTCATCTCACGTTTCACCTACAGAGCCTCTCTGGCTTTTGCATTGTGGAAACAGGGACAGGCCATGCGTGGAACATCCCCATCCACTAATGCATTCAGGCCCATTCAAAACACCAGCTGCTTTCTTCTACTGCAGCATTCCCAAAAGCTTTGGCCGTTTTTGCCCAGTCCAGCACACAAAGACCCCAATGGAGGAAACTGCAAGGGCAGGACTGAAGTCCCACCATCCACAAAAGCCCAGCACGTGGCATTGGTGAGGACAAATGAAAACCAAGAGTGGCAAGTGGGAATTGCAAAGTCAGCAGCACTTTTTTGGCGTTGCTCAAGACAAAAGATAAAACTTTAATTCCTTCTCTCCTCTTTCATTTCCCCCTCACTCTAGCTTTGTTTTTCTCCCCTGAACGGCTGTTGAAACTCTCTATGCTGCTAAGCCTACAGCTTGCAACCCTCCCAAAACACTGGCAAAAAGACATTTAGTAAGGAACATTTACCAAATGTGCCTTATTTCAAACCCAAAGAGACACCAAAATGTTGCAAGGCTGTAAATGTCCCGAGCTTGGCTCTCTGCTCGCTGCGCTCAGTTAGGCACAGGCACCACGGCCAGATGTCCACAGCAACCCAAAGGTCAGCATGCAGCACCACTCAGCAGCCAGGGAGCTGAGGATGGAGCAGATGCTGGTGGATTTTAGGGATACTGCTGGGGGATGGCTGAAGCAAAGCCAAAAGACACTCCAATCCTCTCTGTCTTCATGCCCACCAAGGCTACAGAGCCAAGCACACGTGCAAAAGAGCTTCTGGGGTTCCTTCCCCATGCCCTCAGCTCTAGGACCAAGGATGAAGCCTGGGTTTCCATTGCACCACATCCTACCTGCCTGCCTGGAGAACTCCCGAGATGCTGAAGAGGCCGAAGTCCGTGATCACAACCTTCCCGTTGTCATAGAAAACATTTTTGGACTTGAGATCTTTGTGGAGGATTCCTTTGGCATGCAGGTACCCCATGCCCTAGGGTGGAGGAGAGAAAAAAACAGAGCTGACAAAGAAGCACACAGAAACAGGATAACAGAGAAAAGGGGCAGCTTCACCAATATCTGCTGATTGATTATGCTGAGAAACAGCAAAGCTGCTCTCTTCCCTGAAACCCTCTGCTGAAAAACTGGTGGTAATGGTTTTGCCTGCTCTATCAGGGTTGAGAGCAAAAGGGGAACAAGTCAGAGCTCTCCATCCCACTACTACATTCCCTGCTGAAGCCATCGGGGCTTCCCACATGCGTCCCAGCACAGTGAGCTGGAAAGCAGAGCCCAGCAGGAGCCCTGCCTTAATGTCTTCCCCTAGGAAAAAAGACTTGGCAGTTAATTAAAATGATTGCTAATGATGCAAAAATAAGGCCATGGGTGGGAAACCCAAACTCGCCTGCACCAGGCTCGTAGAGCATCGTTTGATAGAGCTGCCTGTGGGCAGACCTGCTGCTCACGGGGATGTTCATTGGGCTGCAGCAAGGCCCACGGTGCTGTCTCAGTTTTCATCCTCATAAGCAGAGTAACAAAACTTCTTCTAGAGGGGGCACCAGAGGATAAATGCTCAACGGGCCAGCAAGCTGTTGCTTGAGAGCAATTATCCTTTGCCCATCATCAACATGGGAGGAGTGAAATGGGTTTCCACCATCCCAGCTCTGAGCACTTCATACAGACACAGATGCCCCAGGTGCCAGAGCCAGATTAATTAGGGGTCTCCAAGCCCCAGCACATGGAGCAATGCTAAGGTTTAAAAGCTGTTGTAAAATACCACCACTGCCTTCTCACGCTGTGTTCTTCGTGCAGTAGATGTGGGTTACTGCAAATATTGTCTGGTGATTTGGGGTTGTTGATCACCCACAAGTAGCTTGTGAAGGCTGCTCATCCCAAAGCCCACAGCACACTAAAATCCGTGTGCACAGCTGGAACATTGGGGTTGCCCCTGAACCCTAAGAGGACAGCGCAGCCCCCAGGACTGCAAGAGATTTGGGAACAGGTTGGACTGCAGAGTTGGGATGCAGGGGTCTGAGCAGTATGATAGAAGAGGATGCTTGCCAAAGGGGCTGTGGATGCTGATGTTCAGATCAAGGCACGACCGCCCTCCAGACATGCCACCAAGCCTCCTGCAATGGCTCTGCTCTGCAACATGGGGCGCAGGGAGGCTGGAGAGCAGGCTGCAGAACAGAAGCACAGAGCAGCCCTTGCTGAAGGCACTCCTAGAGCAGCAACCAGTCCTCCAGATGCGCCACAGCCTCCACAGGGGATGACACAGATCCCACATATCCACAAATTCCAGGCCTGAGGATAAGCCGAGCCAACAAGCCCGGCTCAGTGTCACCTTCCTTTGCTCCAATGTACACGAAAATCCAGCTCCCTCTGCCGGCTTTGCTCCTAAAACAAATTAACTTTCAGCTCCAGAGGATCACAGTGGAACAAGAGCCTTTGCACCCGGTAATCCCATAAGCTCCAAGAATCTCCTGACTCATGCAGGGAATCAAGGATAAAGCCATACAAGTGCAGGGTAGTGGGGCTCAAACTCCTCTCATGGTCCAAGCGGCAGCTCCTCTGGGTGATGCTCCCCAGCCAGTCAACTTCTTCTAACAACAGCTTCACTGCATCCCACATACACTGAGGGCAGCCCCACATCTGCTGTCTGTTGTGGGTTGCAGGGACCTACTGAGAGCTTCAGGACTCCAACGTATTCCTAACGCAGCAACCTCCCAGCTGCTCCTGCAGACCCTGATCAGCATAAGGAGACATGACTGGTACTGGGAAAGGGTTGACCTGAGCCATTAGCACCCGCTGTGAGCATCTGGGAGGCAAGAACATGTGTGATGCCTGTGACATTTGCTCAGCAGGAAAAAGTCATCTTTTCAAAACGGAAAATACAGATCAGAAAGAGAAGAACAGAAATAGGGAAACAGACATTGGGCACACCAACTTAAGGCTGGAGCTTGCAAGAAGGTGACATCACCCAGCTCGGGGCACCCCTGGGGCAGACACAGAGCTCCTGTGGCACACCATGGCCAGGTACACCTTGAAGGTGCATATCGCTAGCTGCTTATATGGACTCAGCCCTTGGAATTTGCTGGAGGCGCTGCCCAGCCTTGATCTGCTGGGGTAGGACCCACGTCTGGTGCTTTAGGAACCATTCTGTGTTAAAGGTGTGAAGCTCTCACAGAGCTCTCTTTGTTGCTGATGTATGCTGAGCCACGGTGTCCACAGGACCTCACTGCTGTCTGTGGGGATGCTGAGCACCGCTTTGCACAACGCCCTCAGACACTGGGTTTGGATTATGAGCTCTGTGTGGAGCCAGGAGTTGGACTCGATCCTCATGGGTTCCTTCCAAGATGGGATGTTTTGGGATTCCAGGATTTCGTGGCCTCTTCCCTGTTACAGGCTGGGGACAGAAGGTCCCACCTGCAGCGTTCACTTGAGGTCAAGGAGCTCAAAGCCAGAGATGCTGCTGGTCCCAGCACCCTGCGCAGCTCATCTGGGTGCCCACGGCAGACAGCAGCATCCCGCCTGACCACAGCATACCTTCACAATCTCCTGTGCTATCTGCCTCGTCTTGTTGACATCCAGGACGATTTTGGCGTCTCTCACCACCGAGTAGAGAGTCCGTCCTTTACACAGGCTGGAAGGACAGGAAAAGGGAGAAAGCTGACAAACTCCTGCTGAGCAAAAATCCCCTAATATCAGCATCAGTGGTAGGGGTTACACAAATTGCTGCCAGAGGCCCCCATCCCCAGGCCCCAGCCACCAGCTGGACCTCTCCCTGAGAGCTTTGTGCCCACATCTCCTCCCACCTCTTCCCCTGTGGGATACAATGCTCACAGATGTAACATGAGTCAAAAGAGGAAAGACAGGGAGTAAGGGAAAAAAGGAAACACACAAAAAACCCCAATGCACTCTACAATGTCCTCCAATTTTCCTTCTCATACCAATTACAGTAAAATCTATTTACAGAGCCTTAATTACCAAAGGCAGCTGTAGGGGGGGGGACGGGACGGGACATATAAACCAATTAAAAATATATTGACATTTGAATATCATAATGGAAGACGTGGGTGGATGCTGCCTTGACTCCCGCCCACCAAAAAAAAAGAGCTTTTTTAGCTCCTCTGCATCCACCCACACTCATTATAGGCAACTCTAGAAAGATGGGACTGGATACCTGTGCCCAGGAAACAAAACACCAGGCAGGCGCCTCTCGTTAGAGAGGCTGTGAGCACAGCTGTTAATTGATCTCGTTATTGAACGTGAAGTCACAGGTTCTCATTCCCATCCTCCTGCCCACAGCCAGCCCTAGGGATACAAACCACAAGGAAATGTCTGGATGCCCACAGATTTCTACCAAATTTGGGGCTCACCTCCAGAACAGGGGGGAAAGCTGTGCTCCCGCAGTGCTTTTGAGGTTTGAATGGGTTGCGGCTGGGATTGATCCTTGCTTGCTCCTTCCAAATGGGATCACAGCTCCTGCAGCCCCTCCTGCCCCAAAGCCAAGAGCGGCTCACAGGCACCATTTCCAGGTGAGGCAGCTAAGCAGGAATGGGAGCAATCCAAAATTTCACCACTTTGGGCAAGGCGACAGCATCTGTCAACGCACCTCGTTGCTGCTGTGTTGGAAGGCAGCAGCGCCAGCCCCTCCTGGGGCCACTCTGCCTCCTTCCACCCAAATCAGCCACTTTACCTGCTGGAATGGTTTGGCTGCCATTATAGACAAATAAAGAGTTTTTCTGAAGTGCTCTCAATACTGCTTGGAAATAAGTGGTAAAGGAAATCTCTGCCCTTGGTTTTCTGCAGCGGGAATTAAAGGGTGCAAAACAGTAATGGGTGTGAATTCTCTTTCCATGGAGAGTTGTTTTTGTTTTGTTTTGCACTGGTTTGCAAAATGGACCTGTGGGGCTTAGGCTGCAGGATGCAATAGGCTCCCTCACACACACACACACAGCCCAGCTCTCCACGATCCCAAAAAAACCCTGGTTTCCCTCCGGAGCAGTTACCCAAAGTTGCTTATGGGTTGGGTTAGTCATGAATCAATGTTACAGATCAAACAAAGAGCTTAGTGCTGGGTTGGGCTGTGATTTCAGCCCTGGAGTGAGTTAAGATCGGCTGTTTGCCTGGGAAAAGGGCTGAGTAGGAGAAAAAAAACCCTCCGATTTCTGCATCTCTAAATGACAGTGATAACCCACAGCCCCTTTCCAACAAGATTCCCATCTCTTTTGTCTACAGGCAGGGGGGATTCATTGAACAAGTCATTGGCCACACATGCCATGAGCTTGGTGCGAGGACAGCAATTGGCAGTGGGACATGGCACTGTAGGACGCGGCATGGTAGAGTAAGGACATGCCAGCACCACTCCTCCAGCCCCAGGGATACAACCCCATGACTCACTGCTCACATTCCCCTGATGAATAACTCTGACTTAATTGCGAGCGATGCCAGTGCAGCCACAAAGCCCCGTTTGCACCTATTATGCAGCACCTGAGCCTATTGAACCAACACCTGCAGAACCTTTTCATGGCAGCTCTCATTCATTCAGGCCCTTCTCATTCCTTGCCTTTCTGCTTGGAGAATTCACTGCTGAAAGGCTGTGGATGGCATGCGACACCACAGCGTGACACTGGGGACAATGGCACCTGAGCTGTGCTTTCTTTTGGATCTCAGCTCATCCATATCTGAAGAGCACATCCCTAAGCAAGCATTCATCTCTTCCACCTGAACCTCTTTATTTGCACCCACCAGCAAAGCAGGCAAGGTGGTGACACGAGACCGAACCCAACCCGAGCCATGGGGAGATGCTCAGTGATTCCAACCCATGGTCTCTTGGCCCTCATATCAACCTTAAATGTCCCCTTGCAGCCCCCTCAGCCCCAGGACAGCCTGGCCCCATCCCACTGCAGGTGCTCACTATTCAAAATGAGTTTTGAAGTGTTCAGCCAAGCAAACCAAATCCCAAATTGCTTTATAAACATGCTGCATTTCACCAGTGTGGGCTGGAGACATCAGCAACGGGAGCAAAGTCAAAGCGACTTGCAGAGGAACAATTCAGGAAGGATGAGCCAGGGAGAGCAGCAGCACTGCCTCGCGCTATTTTTCTCATTTGATGCGGAAGCAGCCTCATCCTCCTTGCAATATTGATGGTCATCAGCTCAATAGGGTCTTAGACCTCAGCCCAGCTCCTGCTCACTCATGCTGGAATAAATTCAGTGCCGATAGCACCTCAGTGGCTGCGCTCGGGTCGTGATGCCATTACTTTAGTAGGATTTTTGTGCTTTCCTTCGCTCTGCCCAACCATCGGCGCAAATGTCACGGGGGCCCATTAAATGGGATCGCTTTGAACACCCCAAAGTGATAAATGCCAGACCCCAAGAAGCTCATTGCTCGCTGCTCAATTGATTTATGGGAAGCGGCTGAGATGCCACGGCGATGGCCAGCATCCTATGCCCAAGGGAGAGACAGAGTGAGAATTAATAACAAGGGCTAGCAGCAATAGAAGCCTGAGAAATCCCAGTGTCACTGGGACGCACCGCAGCTCTCCTCTCAGCCACCCAATGCCCTAAAACCAAGCACAGACACACTCCTGCCCCAGGACTACATTCACTTCGTTTCCTGCCCTCTGGGAGTCGCCTTTCCTCTCCACACCCATTGTTTTGCCAAACTCTGTGGGCTCTCCTTCCTCCTGGGGACTGGAGGCACACAAACACTCCTTTCAGTCAAAACAAAGCATCAACCCCAGGCACTGCAAGAGCCCTCCTGCCGAGCAGCATCCTCCCAAGCCCAGACCCTCCTGGAGCATCACTTGAGGGGGAAAAATCCCCAGGAAAAAATCCAGCTCCTATGTGAAGCATACTAGGGCTGCACAGCTGGGCTCTCCTCGGCTTTATCAGCCAGGAAACACTTGTTTCCAACCTAACACCTCCCAGAGCTCTGGCAGCCAGGAGCCAGCCACCAGCAGCAAGGCTGCAGCCCCACAGCCAAACTGCCCCAGCACGCTTTGTGCGGAGCAAAGTTAGCAGGGAGCTGTGAAGGTGCACTTTTGTGCTCGTCCCCGACTGCGTCCTCCCTACTGTCCTGGGATGGGAGCAACAGACACAGCTGTATTTTCCTCCTCGGCATTACAGAGTAAGGCTGGGGGAGGAGGAGGGAGAGCAGCCTCCCTGCAAAGTGCCTCCAAGCCCATCACGCCTTGGGAAGCAGCCAGTTATTTAGAAAAAGCAAACTCCATGCATTTTTATTTCAAGGAGATAGTGGCAGAGGAGGCGAGCTCTGCTACAGCTGCTTGCAAAGCAGCTCCAAGGCAGGAGAATGCAAAGCAGCCCCTGTCCCCAGCGGCTCATCTGCTGCGAACAAGTGGTGCCTGAATGCTGCATCCCTCATTCCAGCACAAAGCAGCACAGACACCACGCCGGTGCCCATCTCACCCCCAGCCCCTCCCCTCTCTGGGTATTTCGGTCTCCCCAGCACTGCCATTGAGCATCACTGTCTGCGGGCAGAAGATATATGCTCACTTAATGTATATATTAATACACATATTGACTTTCCCTTTGTCAGTCGTTATCAAGATTTATCCAGCCCGATGGCCTCTTATTGATTGAGAAGAAGTGTATTCCCACGGGTCAATCCATTCTGAAACATCCAGTGGCAAGAAGTCAATACCTATTTATTATATGATCTACGAGCTTCATTACTCTAAATGCTATGGAAAGCGAAAGGTGGCAGAAGCCAGAGGAGAAAAACAACAGAAAAGGGAAGGAGGCTGTTTGCCAAAGCTGGTGTTGGGGGACTCAAGCGTGGGGAGGTTCATAGGAGGCAAAGCCTTGCACCCTAGAGAGAGAACCCCATCCTTCACACCCCATTAAATATTCATCCCCAGCTCCCTAAGCATTAAGGTCTACAAGTCCCAAATCCTGTGCAGCTGAGCTGGGATGTAAATGTCAGGAGGTGAAGATCTCCCCTTATTCCCTTAGTGCAGAATTATTGGGTCTTCAAGTGCAGAGCTCCCAGGCGCTGTGTTGCTGCCCCTGCAGCCCATTCAATCATTGTGAACACAAACCCTTTCATTCCTTTTCCATTTGGTCCCAGACCAAGCATGGTTCAGGACATCCCTATGCTCTCCCCATCTCTAGATGCTCTCAGTTTTGCTGTTCATCCTCAGCACCACAGGGACCGGCTACGGGATGTGCTGGAGATGCTCCATCTGCAGCAGAACAACTCAGAGTTCCTCTGTTGAAAGGCACCTTCGACAAATTAATCCTCCTTATGTAGCTCTCATCAGGTCAATTCATAATGTTCTTCAGCCATCTCCTCGGTCTCCCAAGAAATCCCGTGTACCAAATTGCTCAGCCCCACCCCCGCGTTCAGAAAGGGCCCACAGGCACTGAAACGTGGGCTCTCACTCCCTGCTTTGCAGCAGCGAAGGGCTGTGGGGCTGCTTCCTGCAGCTCCATGCTCATCTTACAGCACCACGCTCCCATCGCTCGTGCTCAAGAATAATTAAGATGAATGCTAACTGTCCCCACTGCTCATTACCCAAGAGAAAATCCATTAGCAGCTCCGGCGGAGCCACCACCGTGCAAACCACCACTGAATTCCCACCAGCAGCCCAATCTCTCCCTTTCCCTGACACTCAAGGATGCATCTCAGGGACAAAGCAATGGTTAATGCTGCAGTTTCCCCACCGCCCCCAGCATCCCAGGCCACTGCCATCACCCTGAACAGTGGTCCAGGTATCCTGGACCACTCCTCGTCCAGCTGATGTCACGTCGTCCTCTCACTGCAGTGCCCAGCCATCATCTCTGCCCTTCACCATGAAGGAAGAGCCTCCAAGGCTGCGTTATCTGCTATACCTGCTACTGCAGCAAACAACACTGGATAAGGAGACGTTCATGAAGCAGAGATCATTAGGACTGTGAGCATGCAATACTCAGACATGCCGCAAGCCCAAGCTGTATCCCAGGCAATCGCATAACGCCGTACTTAGACCTTACAAAGGACCAAGCGCAGGTGGGGAAGAAAAGAAAGCTGAGCTGTGTGCTTTTCAGCCCTAATATCAATGCATCAAGCCACTGTGGCGCACACATTTATTTTGTCAAACTGTCAAAAACGGCACCTGAGTGGTTTTGTATAAAGAGGTAATAGGATGGAAAACACTCCAGAGCTAAAATATACACAGATATCTAACACTCCATTTCTGGGATTGAATAGGACTGAAAAGCCCAGCAAAGGGCTTGCTGCTTTGATACAGCAACACAGACTTTCTGGAAATTCAACTTCACCTTGGGAAAACTTCTCTGAGCAGCACCACAGCAAGCCCTGCAGCAGCACACGTAGGCTGGAGGTGAGGGAAACAGCTGAATATTCAGAGAGAAATATATTTTAAATGCTGTCACGTTAGGCCTCGGTGAGCAGGAGACGAGGGGTAATTCAAAGTATTTCTCCAGCAGTGCCTCTGTGACTGCGCCGAAGGCAGCATCTCCCTCCCCTGGCCCCATCCCAAGCTCACTTTGAGTCCCACACACAATTATTGGTGTACCGTGGGGGCAAATACTTTGGGAAAGACAGGAAATGCTCCAGCAGACCATAACTCATCTTGCAAGGTCTTGGGATCGAGGAGTCCCCACAAATGAGCTCCAGCTCCTTGGAGCCCCTGCATGTGCTCCGTTTTCTCCAGTTCTGCTGCCCTTCTGCTGCCTTTCCATGAAGGATTTGGCACCACATTTGCACTCTGTTAATCCTTCAGATGCCAAACCATCCATTCTCTCAACACCAACTTATTCACAAAACCTGCTGATCGGTGCTTTCCATGCTCCAAACCCCATCTCCCATTCACACACAGACCCAGGAGCCATGCAAGAGCTCCATGGAAATAGAAGCTGCCGATCCCATCCCACAGCCAGCACCACACTGAGCTCCTTCTGATGAAAACAAACCACCAGGCTCCACTTCTACAAGAGATGCATCACGGGAGGTTCATCACCAGGAAGAGAGGAGATCCCCGTAGGGCTGGAGGCTGGCATGGCCAAGTGGAGGATAGCCCTTTAGGGACAGAGGCTGGCATAACGAGCTGGAATTTGTCCCTTTGGGGATAGAGATTGACACAGCCATCCGGGAGACTGGCCAGCCTCACCTCTCAGCACCTCGACGAGAAGCTGATCACATGAGAAAACATTCTGGGATGAAAACCTGACGGGGTCACGATGCTGGGTCTCACCTGGTGATGATGGCAAGGTGTGGAGGGCTCATGCAGGCTCCCATGAAGAGCACCACGTTCTCGTGCCGCGTCTGCCGGTACGCCATCACCTCCCTCTTGAAAGCCTTCAGCTGGTCCTCGTTGTCCCGCTCAATGTCGATGAGACGGATGGCCACTTCCCCGTGCCAGCGGCCATGGAAGACCTGCCCAAAGCGGCCCTTGCCAATGAGCTCGCCGATCTCCAGCTGCTCAAAGGGGATGTCCCACTCCTGCAGGAAGATGCTGGTCTGGCTGGCTTTGCGGGGGAAGTTGCGGGCGGAGAGGAGCGAGAGGTTCATCTCCTCAAAGTCGTCCTCTGACTCCTGAGCCTCCTCGGTGCCTTCCTCATTCTGTGTGGGGACAGTAAGGAGGACACGTGGGGAACAGCACCCATCTGCCACCTGGGCATTCAGTGGGGCTGCGTCGTGCAACGTGCCATAGAACAGCAAAATGCTGCCAAGGAACATCCTCAAACCCTGCCCCTACGTCAAACTTTTGTGTCTCATAATATCTCTTTGAATATAAACCTGAGGGCAGACACAAAGCCCACACGGGATCCACTGCATGGGGTGGGACACAGGTGCAGCACGAAATCCCAGAATCATCCAGGTTGGAGAAGACTAAATCCAACCACCAAGCTGACCTACTGAGACCCATCACTGGTCCATGTTCCGCTGTGACTGGGCAGGACAGGCCTGGCTGATAATCAGGTTATCATCTGGTTCCCATGAAACATGCCCTGAAATATGCATAATACAGGTGCCAACAGAACCCAAGGCTAAGCCCAAACAGTTCTGTGAGTTGTATCTGGAGGTGTACAGATGGCGAAGGCATCAAAATGCCAAGCCCCCATTCCCTGTCTCAGCTGCAGCTTCTGAACTTTTCCTTTCACTCCTCATGCAAAACACACAGCATCTCACCTCTGACGTGGGCTCCACTTCAATTTGAAGTAATGGATTTCCTTCCAGGCTGTCAAAAAAAAAAAAACAAACAAGACACAACAACTACAGCATGAGAACTGACATTAGGTACATCATCTTCCCAAGGGATGCAAGAAGTGCTTGCTGATCTAAAGATCAGCATCCCTAAAAAAGGCATCCCTATCCCTACAACTTCCCCAAAAATAAGTTAGCATCCTTCAGACCCCAACAGGTGATCCCAGCCATTTAAACCCCTCTCTTTCAAACCCTTCCCAAATGGCATTTCCAAAAGGACATCACTCACATGGGGTTGGATGTGACGGGGTGCAAGACCACCTGTGGGGCTCGGGTTGGCGTCTCAGGCACCACATCTAGAGAGGAGAGAGTGCAGTGAGAGTAGGATAGGGAGCAAAGCTCCAAAACCTTGGGACATGCCCTTGTGCTATTCAGTCTGGTTATGAATTAGCATCCCCTAGCCTGCGGAACCTTCAGAACGCATGGTTCAGCAGCAAGGTGTCAGGTTTTGGCAGAACCCCATCTTCATGCAAAATCCAGCCATGCACCCACCCCCAGTGAGGTGGAAGGTGAGCTGGGTGGATCTTGCCCATCTCCAAGGGGACACTCAGTACTCTGCACCATAGGAGAGACTTTTGAGGAGACATACCTGGGAAAATGAACTGCTGCTTGTACTTGTAGTAATGGGAGGCTGCAAAAAAGAGAGTGGGCTTAAGCACTGACCCTGACACCATGGGTCTGTGCCCAATCCTCTACCGTGAGATCTGACCCCGAGCACAGCTCCTGCCCACATTGTGGGAACACAGATAATGCAATCCATCCTGCGCACGCTCCCTCCCCAGCTCCATAAATATACTAAATGTGTGCAGAGGTATTTTCCCTCTTGCATTTCCTCCTTATATACCGTATTGTAAGCTCTTCTGTGCTCTGTGCCTGTACAAATGCCAAGCCCACAGGCAGCGCTGGGGGACGACGTCACAACAGTCAGGTTAGCAGCTCATCATGCTAAAACTTCCCTGCTTTGTGCCAGCATCAGCAACTCCTTCACACCAGTAATTAACATTTGGGGAGAGATGATGCTGCCGGTGGGATTTGAATGCTCAATTGCAAGCAAAACCCATGGGCCGTGAACATTGCGACTCATCCCACAGACACCAGGCAGTGAATTTGCAGCTGTTGCACCTGTTTTTGCTTGATCCTGCATTTCTGAATGAAGGTTTTTGCCAAGCATTAGGGAAACATCCTTTCAGCACAGGGCTGCATCCCTCCTGGTGCATTTGGGCACTCATCTGTATGAGCACAAGGAACAAAGACATACAGGGCTGCTGAGCCTACCAGAGGTTAGCACCTTCTTGGTGCCTTGGTCTTATCCTGACCTTCAAGATCCCAAATACAAACTCTCGGCTTCTCCTTTTGAGCTTTGAGACCTCAGAGCATCATCAACCCCACAGAGGGACCAGAGCAACCCTGATCCAAGATCAAAGGAGACCCAAAGGTAATTCTAGGGGAAAAAGTCACCATGTTGTGATTTCCCAGCTCAAATTCTAATTTTCAAGATGACCACCTCACCGGGGTCACTCTGATCTTCCCACACAGAAAGATGAAAGCATGGTAAGTCCTGCTTTGTGTCCTACCAACAGCTGCTCACACGTGCAAGGGGTTGGAGCTCCATTCCTGCCAGCCCAGTACAAGCCCAGGTCCCCCAGGTGCCAACTATGGGCTTTCCTTCTGATTTCCATTTCAAACAGCACAAAATAAATCCCCATCCCTGGTGGTGCTCAATGCCAGGTTGGATGGGGAAATGCAGGAGGAACCCAACCACCTGGCCCCCACCCCACCGAAAATGAGGCCACATGGAGGTGACATGGAACCAACGAGTTTCACCAGCCCTGTTTCAGTCATGGGTGTCTGAGCGCCTCGAGGCAGAGCCTAGGCTCCCGCTGTGCCCAGTTCTGAGGAATATCTGCAGAAGGTGGACACATCTGGTACCTGGCAGGTTGAACTGCTTCTGCTGGCGTGGGCACTGCGGGGATGGGTGCAGCGGGGACGGCGGCGTGGCGCTGGGTGGCAGTGGTGGGGCCGGCGAGGATGGCGTGGAGGAGGTGGTGGAGGAGGGATTGCTGCTGGAATCCGGCTGGTAGGGCACCGGGATGTGGTCCTGGGGAGGGGAGAGGAGGAGGGCAGTGCTGACGACGGCACCACAAGGTGCTGCCACGCAGGAGACACCAAGGCACAAGTAGTAGTGACATGGTTCAACCCACTGCTACAGTCTGGGAAGGTCTAGAGCACAACTGGAGCCCCAGCCTGACTTTTTTTCCTGTATGCGTACTCAGAATTTGCACCAAGGCTGCTCCTTCCTTGCCAACCCCTCTGTGCTGCGCACCCAGAGATGAGAGCACTCCAAGTCCATAAAGCTGGGGACAAACATTCCTGCAGTTTGGTCCTTATGGGTGTAATGAACCTGGCAGCTTCTGCTGACCTCTGTAAGCCAAAATCCACTGTCCTAACTGGAGCACAGGCTGATTCCTGGCAGGTTTAAAGAACCAGGCAAGGCTCTCCAGGCAGCACCTGGGCATCCCAACGCACCTCATGTGAGATGACCTGAGCTCCATTAACTGATCCTGCTCAAGGCTGGGACAGCTGTGATGGGCACATGGAGATGGGGCACTGAGGGCCAGCTGGGGGCAAAACAGCAAGGAGGACCTGAAGGATCTGAGCATCTGAGAAGAAAACAGAGAGTTTCCCCACTTCATCCACGCTGCTCATTTTGGAGACACTCTGCAAGCTCTGATTTTCCACCTCCAGAAGCATACACCCATGGGAAGACCTGCCAGCCTCCCTGGTTGGTATTTTGTCCCAGTTGATGAGGTTTTAAATGAGCTGGGCTTCTCAGGAATGCCACCCACACTCTGTATGGTCCATCCCGACACACACAGCAACCTTGGCTTGGTTTAAACAAAGGCCAAATGCTAAAAAAAAATATGTGATTCCTCTGCTACAAGCAGAAAATGGGACATCTCTAGAGAAATACTTTTGGAAACATCAAAGAAAGGAGGGGTCCTGAGGCATGAAGCCCTACTGGGAATGGGAGTGCTGGGGTCACAGCCTCGGCAGAAGCATAGGGACCATTTCCAGCTGCTGCTGATGCAGGCGTTGCTATCAGTCCTCCTTAGTAATGCCCCGTTGCATCCTCTAAGCTGAGCACAGTTCATTGAATTTGCATATGCACATGTATATTAGGACATATATCTATATATCTCGATGAGTGAATGAGTCTCATCTGTGGTTTTCAGAGCATAAAATACAGAGTGCATTATTACACTCTGGTTAGAGGTAAGCTGAGGAAGGAGCTGATGCAGTGGCAGAAGGAGCGCAGTGCTGATTGCCCTCCTTGCCCCAGCCCAGTGCTGAATCACTTCCCCAGTGCCCTCTAATAAAATAAAAGAGCATAATACCTACATGAAACAAATCACTTGAAGGACCTGCACTAAAAAGAGAAATGCCTCTGTGCTCCTGTTGGCTCCTGCAGCAGCTTTCATCCTCCCCAGGTGCCCCCTAAGCCATTTGCACCACACCAGAGCCACAATAACAGCAAGGCAGATAATTACACCGAGGATCTCCTAACAGCTCAGGGTGTAAGGACTGCAACAGGCTCTAAATCTCATCTAATATAAACCCACGCTGGTTTATTACGATTAATGTAGTGTAGAGAAAGGGAGCCAGGTGCATTGCCAGGGCTGGCTTGGCTGGGTCAGGGACATGAGACTTAGGCAATAGCTCTGATCCCATGTGATTTTTGAGCCATTTAAAATAAATAAGGTTGGTAGACATAAAACACACAGAGTATCCCACAGAGGTGCTGTGATGTGCCTAAAGACTTGCAGAGCCCCAGCAGATGCTACAGCAATGGGAAAACCCAAAGGACCCCTTCTGCTCCAAGCATAGGGCATGTTGTTTTTTTTTGCCTTTCGTTCATCCCTTCCCTTAAAAATGCCTTTCAGTGCTCTTCTCCCACATGGGGTTTGAACTCCTTCAGTGATCTTTGAGGTCCCCTCCAACCCAAGCCATTCAGTGATTCCATGGCTTAGATGCCCTGGGTGGGTGATGAATGGACCCGGAGAAGTGGTGGCCAAAACCCCAACAAAAGCACTCAGATTTTGGGGATGTGGAGCCTGATCCCCTCTTGGAGAGCACAGAAGGGAACGATAGGGGAACAGAACCTCCGTAGCTGCTGGGGGGTCCGAGATGGGTGGGCACGCACTCACCTTGTTGAGCTTGTTGGTTTTGGGGAGCGTCTGGCTGACGTGCAGGTCTGAATAGCGTGGGGGCTTGCGCAGGGGGTTGTTGATGTCACAGGGCACCGACTCGGTCCGCACCAACCGTGCTGCGAGGAGAAAGGAACAGGGAACGGGGATGGAGAGGGATGGGGGAAAAAAAAGAGAGAGACCCAACGATGTAAAGAGGCATTTGGAAAAGAGCAGCTGCCACCAGAGCCCAGTGTGAGCCATTTCCCACCCAATGCCACCATCCATCCTCCTCCTCGCAGTGGGCAGGGAGCCGGCTCAGAGCCTCCCGCTCGCAGCAGGGACCTTTCAGAAGCTTTGGGAGAGGGTTACTGCATTCATGTTGAACGTTGGCTTGCAAGGACTACCCCGAAGGTGGGCAGCTCCAGTGCTCAGCCCAATTCTGGGGATTCGCCCACCTCCACGCCAAACTGCCTTGCAGGGCGCCACCAGCACAATGCGTTTCCCCAGGGCTAAAATACTGAGCATGCTTTGGGCGGTGTGTAACATGCTCATTAGCTCAAAATTAAATGCAGAAATTGGAACTGGCACTGCAAATATTTCCTCTAAAGCAGTCTCAGCCCTTCATCCTCCACCATCAGAGCACCTGGCCAAAATCTGGAAGAGAAGAGGTGGGAAGGGTTCTCCAGCTGAACATCTCCTTTTGGGCTTGCCAACGCGCCCAAATTTCTGAATTTCTCTGTATTTCCAAATTTCTGAATTTCCAAGCATCTCCAATTTTCTCTGTATTTCCAATGAGCTCTCGGGACAGGCAGCTCTGAAAGCATCATGAGAGCATCTGGAGGGGCGCAGCCGGGACCCCCATGCACCGAGCGCCGCAGCGGGTCCGGTCCCACGCCCTGAGCTCTCCAAAGCAAAAGGCTGAAACCTGTTGGCACTTACCCCGTGCGGTGGGGAATCTGAAAAGAAAAGGTGGCAGGGGGAGGGTGGGTGGAAGCGGTTTGCAATGCAAATCTGCCTCGCCCCGCACGGCTCGTCTCCCTACAAGCGGAAAAGACGGTCGGTAAAATTTTCACAGAGCGCCCAAAGCGGTTTCGGGAGCCTCGAGATGGAGGGTCGGGCTCCCGAAGTCGCCCGGGGGCTTCTGAAAGTTTTACCTGGCGAGAGCATCCCGGGAGGCAGAAGCGGAAGAAAGGCCCTTACCTCCGCGGTGGATGATGAGCAGGTGGCACGGAGGGGCCTCTTTGGTGCATTTGTTGTGGCACTTGAGCCTACAGCGGAGACAGAGAGAAAGCTGTAAGGGATGGGGATGGATGCGGCCTCCAGGGCATCACCGCATGCCTGGGGACCTTGGGGACGCCACGGTCCCATGGGTGAGCAGCCCAGCACGGTCCCTGAGTGATATTTCTAATGTTGAACCCAAATAACGAGGGCATCGTAGGCATGGTGGTGAACACTCTGTAGAGTCAGAGCCCAGGAGGGCTGCACCCTGCGGCTGCGCATAGAGCAACAGCAGCTCCCACGCCCCAAAACGTTCCTGTTTGTTCCCAATTAGGGGTGGAAAAGAGTCCGCTGGATGGGGAGAGCCAGGGGAAAAGGGGGAAAAAAGAGAACAGGATTCAAAAGCCATCCGCAAAGGAGGAAAAACAGCAGCAGCTACAAGTCAATGAGCTGGGTAATGAAAATTCAGGAACCTCGCATGTTGGCTTTTATTGCAAAGCCATTCCTTAAGGGAAAGGCAGAGATTAATTTGGTATTCGAGACTTGGGGGCTTTTTTTTTTTTTTTTCCCCTCTCTATTTGTTTGATTTGCCTGTTACAGGTAGGGGAAAGTAGCACTGGGCTGCGTGCTACGCAAAAGTCAGCAAATAGAAATCCTTTCTAAAAGCATGGGATGTGTTTGCTCTTTTCTAAGCAAACGTGGGAAACAGGAGCAGGGCACATCCTGACCATTCTCCAGCCCTCATACAGAGGGAAGTTGCCCAAAGAAACGAGGCGATGCATGCAGGCGGCACTCGGAGCTCAAGGGAAAAACAAGCAGAAGAATCACCACTTTTTTTAAAAAACAAAACAGAATTTTTACTATTGTTACTTCCAGAAAGCCCTCACCACCACCACCACCCAGACCCAAGCAGTAATTCTGCATTCCCTACCCCGATTCCAACCCCCATTTGCTAACTCATCAGCATTTAATCAGCGGCCCCAGCGATCGTTATCGCTTGATAGCCCTGCTAACTCAGTTACCAGCAGACAATCAGCAAATTCCCAGCACTGATCCCTAGCAAGGCAATTGGGCTCCAGCAGCAGTTCCACTAAGTGCTGATTCCTGCTCGATACGGCCCGGGGCTGGGCAATCCTGCATTTAAATGGCATTAGTGCGCGCCTCGCTATCTTTGTCCATCTCCTGCTGACTTTATGGGCTTCTCCACCACGGTCCCACTTCTTTGCTGTGGGTTTGGATGGGTCGCCACACACTCACTGGTAAACAGAAGACTTTTGTCCCTCAGACCTCCGCTCAGCCCCGTGCTGGGTGTTTTCCCACTTCCCACTCAGTTTAGGGAGATGCTGACCCCCTCCCACCTCCAAACCCTGCCCCTTTCCACCACTGCAGCTTCACCATCCTGCAGCTGCAGCCCACAGAGCTTCGTACTTGCAGTTTTTGCACTTTAAGCCAAACAACATTCCTTTCCCGCAGACGGTGCAGGTCTGGGACATCCAGTACTTGGTGGAGAACCTGCAGAAAAAAGGCATTGAATGGTTCCTACGGCACAGACATCCAGATGTGTGCCAAGCCACAATTTACCCTTTGCTTTACACAGAGAAATGCAGGGGCACCTCTCTAAAGATGCCAGAGCACATCCCTGGGTCTGCCTTCGGGTTATGCAGAGCCTGCTACAAAGCACATCAAAGTGGGCACCAAGGAGGACGGCCTGCAGCTTCCAACCTTTGCCCACCCGACGCTCTGTACATGGTTCTGAACCCCCCCCCCCCAGACCCAGCACTCAGCCTCCAGCCTACACCAAGGTTATTTCAGCTCTACGCCCTCCCTCAAGACAGGCAATAAACTGGAAATGGGAAATTTGCTGAAGGTTGGAAAGGTCACGGCCAACGCGTGGCTTTTATTGATAGCAGCTCAAGCCTTATCTGACCCAAATCTGAGCTGAAACGGCAGCACAGTGGGCTGCTGGCACAATGCAGCCAAGCAGGAGAAAGGGGGAACTTTTTGCAGAGCTCTGGTGCTGTGCAACGGGAAGACACAGAGACGCCCATTACACACAACACACTGTGCTGAGGCTGCTGCAGGTCCGGGGGAGCAGGGATGGCACAGGGATAGCTCTGGTGTCCCCACTGGTTGTCCCCATCCTGCATACCTGTGCTTTATGGAGTTGCCCAGGTCTCGGCGGGGGATCTGTGGGGACCAGCGAGGCACTGACAGCGTATCTAGAGGGCAAGATGGGGAAATTACCAGGGTTAATGCAGGAGAAAGCTGGAGGTGCAGAGGCACCAAAATACGAGGTTTTGCCAAACTTAGAGATATCCTGGAAGGCTCTTCATTTTTTCCCCAGAAAAAGACCCACTGAGCTTTGGGGGAAGTGGGCTCCTACCACTCCAGCAGCCTTGGGTCAGAGAGCAAGGCAGGAGGTGCAGCCATTTTTGAAGAAAGGCAAAATGAAGCACAAATGGCACTGGCATCATTTATTAGTAAGACATCACGCCTCTCACTTGCATTTCTGGCTGAACAAAAAAAAGCTGAGCATCAGCCGCTTAGAAGCCAAGCGAACTCTTATCCAAACAAGCAATCAAACAAGGAAAGCAGCCTCTGTGTACTTCAGCAGGGGGAAAGAGAGGAGAAAGGGCAGCAGGACCTCGGAGGGGTAAGAGAGGGGAGATGCGGGGTTGGGCTTCTGACAGCTGCAGCCCCAGCATCGGCTGGGCACGGGCAAATCCCTCGCTAAACACCCAGCGCGATCCCTGCCAGAGGCTGTTTGCTCTCAGATCCCACTTTAATATAGCAGGCAGCAGCGCACTGTAATTGTGCTCGGGCTGAAGGTTACATTTCCATGCCCACACCCATCGCCCTGCTCCACAAAGCAGCTCCAAATCACCCCACATCACTCCTTCCCTGGCTTTTCCAGCCCTGGGGCACGGTTAGCAATTAAGATGTTTGAGGACTGCAAAGTCAATTAGGATAATTGCTGCCCCTGTAGCCCATTTTACACCATTGCCTATTGTATTTTTATTACCAATATTTTCAGCTCGGTCTCTCAGCACCGCATCTCCATGGGGCAGATGTGTTTTGGGGATGAATCTCAAAGCACTCTATCCCCTAAGTGCCATTTTCCCACACGTAAATCACATGACACAAATAAAATCCCCCCCATCAGTCCCAATCAAACAGGCCAGAGCAGCTCCTCTCCCAAATTCAATTACCAGCTCTGCTTTAAGCAGCCACAATTTATTTGCACCAACTTTCAGCTGGTCCCAATTAAATCCAGCCATCCCAGGAAGGGAGAGACAGAAAGATGGCCGAGGCTTTTAATTACCTTCTAAATGCGCTCATTGCAAAATTTATTAAAGTGTACTGGGGGGGGGAGGGTTAACTTCTGAACAAAAATGAGACCTGGATGCTTCATGGTTAGTTATCTCCATTACAGGGGATGAAGCGTGCAGAGCAGCATGCCCAGCAACAGCACTGCTGCCTGCAGGAGGGGAGCAGCACCCGGCACAGCCCCCAGGATTGGTGGATCAGTACAGAGGGAAAGGCATTGCAGCAAAGGTGAGATGACAGAAGGACCCGTGTGACAGGAAGGTGCTACAAGGGAAGGAAAGAAGATTGCTCACACATATCAGAAGATTCCAGGTTCACAGGGGAAAGCTCCACCAAGGAAAGATCTCCAGAAAGAGATCCTTCCTCAGGGGCAGCCAGCCCTTCAGTGAGGCCTAAGAGGCGCAGCCAGGCTCCATCCCTTCCTATCACAGCTGAATTGCCTTCATCTGTGCTCCCAGGGCTGACTGGCTCCTTTCCCCAGCTGCTCCATCAGTGCTGCAGGCTGGGACTCAGCAGTTCCCATACACCTGTGCATATTTACCTGTGAGAAACAGGTATTCCTCTTGTCTCAGGCGTGATTAATTGAGGGCTGTGCCTAAGGGGAAAGTGGGGATGCCTCTGATGGATGCAAATTCTCCCATCCAAACCCCAAAGGCACCAGGATGAGAGGTGGTCAGAAGATAAAAGCTTGTGGCCACGGTGGGAGCAAAGGATACGTGCCATTGGTACAACAGAAAGGCCACTGTGGGGTTGGATCCCGTGCAGGTTTGGCATTGCTGTCACCCCTTTTTCAGCAAGGATCTGTGCTGCACCCCATTCATACCAAGGGGACTTTATTTCCCCAGTGAAAGAGGAAAGCAGGGAAAGTTGAGTAGTGAAACCACCTCCTTCCAGAACCCTAAAAACTGGCCCCATGCTGGGTGCACATCCACCTCCATGAAGCATCACCAGCCCTGCATCCGGGCTGCCGGTACCCAGTGTGGCAGTCCTGCGCCCAAAGCACCCCAAAACAACCACATTTCCCACTGCCTCTCACAAACGGGCACGGCAAGATTCATCTCAAGTCAGCAGCCCACGCCTGACGGCTATCAGATGTGCCTAGAGACAGAGAAGGGGACGGTGACAGCCGTGTCCGGCGCAGCAGTGACAGCGGACAAGGGGAGAGGAGCCCCTGTCACCTCGCAGCAGTGACAGGCACTGCTGATGGTTCCCTGAGTGGCACTCGTCGCGTGTCACAGGTGACGGGGCCGGGATGCTGCTGAGTGCTGATGGGGCCGTGACGCCCTCATGGCCCCTGCTGGCTGTGGGAGGAGGATGCTGGAGCACCGCACCGCATGGATAAGGGCAGCCAGAGCTGCCGGGCTTCATCTGTTTGGGGTTTCCGGCCTCTTTGGGGCAGATGGGGAGGGATGGGCTTGGGGCTCAGCTCACCCTCACCAAATGCGCTGGGAGCATCATCTGTGGGTAGGTGCACGGAATATTTTTGCATAATTCAGGCTAAAGAAGGCATCCAACATGCCTTCTTCTTCAGTGTACGCAGGGCTGAAACATGCCACATCCCTCGGGTTCATATGGACTTGTGTCACACCACAGGGATGTCCCTGCTTTGTCCCTGCTGGGGGTGGAAGGACGTTCCACAACCCTGCGGGCTGAAACTGAACCTCAGTTCAGCAGCAGCAGCTGAGGCAACCAAGGCAGAGCTATTCCCAGAGCATTTCTGGTTAAAAAAAAAGCATAAGTCACTTCATAATAACAGCAGTTCTCCTTTGCAGCATGACAATCCTATTTATTTTCCTAAACGTCATGTTTGGTCAGTTAATTGACTTAAATGCTGGAATCGTGATTTTTCTTCCCATCGGGAGCCTTGCAGGGCCAATCAGTCTCGCACAGAAAAAGCTGTGTGCTCAGGCTCAGTGCAGCCAGGATAGGAAACCCTACAAGAGCAAGGCTTTGTGCGCCCACTGCACATAGCTCCACACACCAGGGGATGCTGCATGGCTCCTGTCATGCCACAGGCCACAGAAAGAGCTTTTTCTGTGTGCTGTGGGAAGGCATTTAGCAAGGTCCTTGCACACGGAGACTTCACAGGTTGCTTCAGCTTGCAGAGCACAGGCTGCATGTTTTTCCCTCCTGATGCTTGCAGGGCACTGTGTTCAAATGAACTGGGTTGCATTGGATTCTCATTTTCTTCTGCAGGATTGGATGCAGCTGGAAGGAGAGCAGTGAGGACAGATGCTGCACATCAAGAGCCATATCCAAATGTCCTCAACGTCCCCCTGCCCACCATACCAGGGGAGGAAGCAGATACTTCTTTATCTCCATCCCCACCCCTGCAGCAGCACCAGCAATGGGTCAGGACCATGATAGTCCCCTGCTTGTGGGCTCTCACCTGCTGCTCTCCCTTCTTTTACCTTCAGCATAATCTCACTGTCCTAAAGATTCTGGAAACGTTCAGAATAATTGCATCTGCAAGCAACTCGAGCAAATCTAACCCTGGGGAGAACATCCTTTGGAGGGGCACATGGACACAAGGGCCACCAAGATCCATCTCTGGGGACAGACCTCAGGAAGGTTCTCAAGCCTGAGTGTGAATGTTGCCAAGCAAGCATTCTTCCGACCTGCAGTGTGTCTGAGGCCAAGCTACAATTCAAGGGCACCCCAAAAGTTATTTCTTCCTCTCTATTGTATGTTTTCTAATAAAAGTCAGCTCAGATCTGAACTCCCAGGCATCCTGCCTCTGCTGGAAGGGAATGGGAATTTCACCCCTCTGCTGAGATTTGTAAGAGGAAAGGGTCTTTCTGCAGTGCCAGCCTCTCCTTCACGTTCCAGCTGCAAATTCATTGCAATTAGGGAAAATCCACTGTTTACAAACAAAAAGGAAGCATCCAACCCCACACCTGGGACCGGGAACAGTTCAGTCAGGAGTATGGCTCTGTTGTGAGCAGTCAGATGGGAAGGTGAAAGGAAATCCTCAGGAGACATCGGTCTGCAATCTGAGAGACTGGGGCCCCATAGGGCTGCTCCCGGCACCTCCACCCAACAGCAACAGCACTGCTTTGTTCTGATGCTTAGATAACAGGATCAACACCAACATACACTACGTCAGGCATGGCAGTGGTACTTTTCCCACTGGGTTTTTAAAACTATGCTCTTTGGAAAAGGAATACTGAAAGGAATACTGTGGAGAAGTCGGCTGTTGAGCCATGTCTGTGGCTCAGGGTTAGGGATGGGGACGGTGGGCTCCTTGGGGGCTGGGACAGGTTGGTGCACTGACTTTGGAGAAACTAAATTCGTCCAGCAACACACGGAAAGCCCAATCACACTAAGGACAAACAGGAAAACCCAGCACCCCATGAGATGCTGGGACTGATGTGCAGTCCCAAAGCATGCCTGCAGCTTCCCATAGGGCTCATAAGGCTCCATCCCAGTGCCATGATCTTTCCACCTGAAGCAGGGAAAGCAGGCTGCCCTGGAGCCATTTATTCCTCCCCACACATAACCGTGTTTCTGCACTGCTTCCAATCACTCATCTTCACTCCACAACGTAGCAAGCCCTGGTTTCAAGCCCCATTAAACCCCAGTGCTCCATCACCCTGCTGCAGCGCCAGCATCACGGCCAGCATCCGGCTGCTGCCTACAAGATGCACCCATAGCTCCGAAATCCATGGGGTGGGAGCACAGCACACCTGCTTTGAGGTTTTGTCCTCTCACCAACATCACCCCATCCACAGCCTGCTATCTGGGGGCTGCCCTGCCCCATCCACATCGCCCGCAGAGTTGGGGCACAAGGGAAACCCAGGACACTGCTTGAAGTCAACACAAAGGTTCGGAAACAATGCAGAAACATGACAGAACCAGGAAAAATATGATTATTTTTGCCTTGTGCTTATTTTTTGCCTTGCATCCTATTTGCCTGCGGCATGCTCGGTGCCCAGGACCAACAGACACATTGATGCTCTCCACAAGGAATGAGCGCCGTGGCTGAGGCTAAAACCTCTCAACAGGGATCAACCTCTCTCCATGGCTCACGTCAAGCTCTGAAAATGAACATCCGCATCAACCAAGCAAGTTGAAGGGCTGAGAGGAGTGAAATGAGAGGAGACACCTCTCCAGCAGCGCCAGTCATTTGCTACTCCATCACTTCTCATTGTATCGCCTTCCTGCTCTGCCACATTGCATCAGGTTATCACACCATGGGATGTAATCCAATGCTGATGCATGAGGAAGCCTAATGCGACCAGACACAGCCACGGTTTGCAGAGAACGGGCTTTAGTTTAGGGTTTCTGGTCCACTACCCAGGGCTGCAAGTGGAGCTCAGGCAGTGCTGCAGAGGGAAGAGCGATGCAAAAATACCCTCGCTGCAGGCAAATCTGCTGGCCATGCCAGCTAGCGTCAGGTAGCTGGACATCTCCCTATAAATAGCATCGCTGCCCTTGGAGCTGCTGCCAGCTCCCATTGTGCCCAGCACCAAGGAAGTGGGAGCAAGAGGACACCAGACGTGTCCTCAGACCAAATGGCGGCTGATAAGGGTGAAGGAGGGGAGTGAGAAGGAAATGGAGCTGGATGGTCTTCCTTCTGACCCGAATCGCTCTGTGATTCCATGAAATTGCAAGGCCTTTGCAATTTCCCACATACAAGGTCCTGCATGCATGCACCCAGTGTGAGTGGCAAAGAGAAAAGCCACCGTTGCTGGGGGCTGAGCATCACACCTGGTTGCTAACGCCTTCCAATCCCACAGAATGCTCTGAGGTACACCAGAAAACAAGGGCTGTGAGCAGGCTGCTGAGCTCCAGCTCCATGGGTTTGCATCCGGCTTGGCATCAGCACTGCCCAACCCCAACACCCAACACAGGCACTCAACCTCAGCACCCAACTCCAACACTCAATTCAAGCACCCAAACCCAACACCCAACCCCAGCATCCATGTGCAGAGGCAAAGCAATGGCTGCAACCACAAAGGAGCCCTTGAAAATCCCTCTCAAGCAGCAAAAGGTAGCACAGGGAAAGCCCGGGGATCTTCCAAATCAAAGTGGCCAAGCTCCTGCCCCTATGTTGACACAAGCAATATTGCAATACCATCGTCAATCCAACTGCTTTTGCATGGCTCAACAATTACTACAAGTCTTTTGGCACATACACAGACACACATGTTCAGGTTTGCAGCCCTGTGCCCCCACGTCCTCCCCCCCCCGGCTGCAACTCACTTGCAGAGAAGGTGGCTTCAGTGTGGACAGGAGGTGTGGAGGGCAGGAAGGGAGGGTAGCCCACAAAGAAGGACCGCAGGGAGCGCTCGGATAGCAGCGGTGAGCGCTGCGCAGGGATGTTCTCACAGCTGCCCACACTGTTGTGGATCTTGAGGTTGAGGGGCTTATTCTTCTTCTTTGTTCTGGGAGAGAAAGGAGGAGAGAGGAGTGAGGCATGAGGAAGTCTGGGGGTTTCCCCCACCGTGCACCCAAGAAGCAATTCTCACAGAGGGGGACATCGTGCTGCTCCAAAAGTAATAAGTAAGGATAATTGGACCCTCAGCACTGTGAGAAGTTCCAATCCCTCCCTGCCATCAACAAAAAAAGGTAATGTGTGTGAAATATTAAAGAAAACATTGCATTCAAGAGCTCCGCCATCCACAAAACCCAGCTGCAAAGGGTCAGTGGGTCCAAAACCACTGTCAGCCCCCACTCTGCTCATCCATGTCCCTGAAAACCATCCCTGTCAACACCAGGATGTGTCAGACATCAGTAACCCGAAGGCACAAATTCCAAGCATGGGACAGAATAGAAATAGGGATGGGATACAATAGGATAAGGATACAAACACAGATGGGGTGGGTTGGGAGAGGATAGAAAGGGAGGGGAGGGGAGGGGAGGGGAGGGGAG